ATGAGTGATGAAAGTTGAACCTCTCGCGTGCATTACGAAATCGACGTTGGCCCCCACCATGATCATGAAATTCTTGGAAATGGTAACGTACATCCGACCCCTTGTACGGTGCCATGTATCCCGGCCGATGTGCAAATCCAGAGCCCACCAAGTAATATTTCCCGTCAGCCGATTCTGAAAAGTGTATGCACCACGCGTGCTAGTATGCGGCTATCGTGCGTGGGCCCTATGCTTCCCGACAACACAAATGTGAAGCATAAGTTGTAATCGCAAGCAGCTAACATGTTCTGAGTGGGCACCCTTTTTCGGCCTATGAAGTTAATTCTTTTACGTCGTGGCAACACCGCCAGCACATGGGTCCCATCAATAGCTCCAATACAATCCTGTGACATCGATTTTGAAAGCACGTCACATATTTGAATAAATTACGGCAAAATTAATTTGATCACCGAGACAATGTGCGGCAACATAAACATACCTGGAACAACGGGTAGCGCTGCGGATCGGGGTGATGACTTGCGGTGCCGCAATTGTAGTGTTCATGAGGGCGGATCATGTCTGCTGCCAGCACACCGACGGCGCGAAGCACGCGCTTGAGATAATGGCCTAAGGTTTGCAGCGAATGTCCAAACAGAGTTTGCACTTGGCGATATCCCTTCTCGTGTGCCATAATACACAAAAACATTTCGACCTGCTCGTACATATCGATGCTTGTACTGTTTTCCAATCCGTAGCGATCTCTCAAAATGTGTGCGAAGTGCCTGAACATGGGCGGGTACATTCTAAACTCCTGGAAGCACGTTTGCAGGTACACATGCATATTCTGTAACATGAATATATGGCCGCTTCGTGTTATAGGAAATAAGTAACGGTGGGCCGGATCCGGCACGAGGTACTGGCGCACCATCCACTCAGCGATACAACAATACTGTAGCCAATCCACCATGTCCGCCTCCAGTTGCTGCAGTATGTCATCATCCGAACCATCGTCCAAACAAGAGTTCCACACGAGGTCACAATCGGTCTCCGATGACGTATGCAAACCAGACGTGTCTGTCATCTTCAGAAAACAATAGCAAGGCACACAAATGTTTTGAATGTACTCCTCAGCATCAAATTGCCACTGTTATTTGGCCTATATTTGCGTGACCCGGTACGTCACCAATTAAGGGAATGACCTTCTTATAGCAAGATCCTTTGCAATGCATGCAATCAATATTGTACATTTAGTGCTGACAATTATTGATTCCATTAGCAGGCTTGTAGAAGGGGCAGTGACTAGGCGATATATGCATTGTATCACGCGGGGAATCTTCGCTTCGCCAGAGCTACTGACATTTTTGAAAATGTCAGGCACTGGATTCCAACATTCACGTAATAATGGAGTACGTGGGATAAAATTATTTATGTGCAAAGATTTGGCTCTTCCTAAACTATAGACGTGGTTTGCAGAGTTCGCAGGCATACTGTTGATAATTATGGGGTCTACGCGAGCGCATGTTATGGGGAAAATTATTTGCTTTTCTAGAGTCATTGATGTTTTTGCGAACTTGTCAGAGTAGGAATACAGTGTTTAGGTAGTGATTGATTGTGTGGTACGCAATTATTTAAGTCAACATTTTTTTATCTTCCCTAACCAATGACATCACATCAAGCTATTAGGGGTAGAATTCTTTAACTTTACTTAATAATTGAGTCCCGTGGAGGGACATATTTCTCTATCAATTGTTGCTTCCTCACAACTAAGAGGCTATTTCTGCTATGTTGCAGGAGTAGATTTGAAACACTGTACAAAAATAATGTGTCCCTGATACACAGTTATTGAAGTGTACAGTGTTTGATGTTCCAGCAGTAATTGAATTGGTAAACATTGTAGGAGTATACGTTTTTGAAAATACATAACAATTGTGTATGTGGCCACGACGTGTTTGTGCCCGCATTTTTCGTTCTACGAGAGCTATTGATAGCCTTCACGCCGTTCTCGGGTACCCGGGAATTAAATAGTTTTGACTTGCATTGAAATGAGTCACAATCACCTATTTTCATTACATGCAGCAGTACGAAATACATAGCGCATAGTTTGGTGCACGAAACGTGTGAACAAAAAGTCGAACAACAAAGTATTATTACAACAAGCCGTACGGAAGATAACATAACAAGCGTTCAAACGAACTAAAACCAACGACACATACAGTCGAAGCACGATCAGCGGCTCCCAGAACCCGGCATTTTGTCGCGTTCAAAACAATACGCAATCCACTTTTAGCGCATCTCCAGCGTTTTAGCTGCACTGTACGCAACACAATTTCTAGAATTTCTTAGGAACCACAACACGAACATGTGCAACTCATCCCCGGCTTCGACAAGCCCAGTCGAAAGCTAATCATCTATGCATTTATGGAGAGTCATACGACCCTCTTCTTTTGTGCGGATCGCAGAGGCCATCTCCCTCAATGCGCAAGCGAGGTTATCCACCGACTCCAAAACCTCCCTCGTCCCGAACTTCTTCCACTTCCCTTTCGCATGTTTTCCCTTACGTTTCTCGCTGCTTCGACGCAGGGAGATATTCATCGAGGAGCTCCCTAGTCTTGGAGTCGGGTCGTTGCTCGAATCAGTTGTCTCGGCATTGATCGGTAATGTGTCGTTTGGATCATCTGAGTCAGAGTTGGCACCCAAGTCAAACCCACGTTGAGACAGCTTCGTGGGTGTCAGTGCATACTTCATGGAGTCACAACTACCTCCAAACAGACGGCTGTATTTATGGTAGATCTCTGTGTTGTCATTGTCCTTGAACTTTCCATACCGAGGGTTCTCCTAAAATGAAACAGGAGAGCATTAGTACATTGTTATGGAGTTGTTCGAATGTAAAAACGTTTCAGAGGAAGCTACTGTAACTCCGGAGTGTAGGCATATGGGTACCTTAATTTTCTGCTTCCACCACCATTCTGGAGCATCAATTCTGTCCCTGGTGCTCAGACCACAAGCTATTCCCATGCTCTGAAGCAGCTCAAACAGTAGTTTGTGGTCCGTGCGCATAGCACCCCAATGGTTTTTCAGCTGTGCAATAGTCCAGTTCTTCCCTGCATTTTGTTGAACAATTCGCGTAATCGCTCCCACCCCATTGAAGAGAAGCACTTTCCACGACGGTGTCCCTCTGCAGTGACGTGTTCAGTGGCGGACATGAAGATCTTCTACTCTTGAGGTTCTCATCTAGCACACTTGCGGGCCTTCGACTTGTGTTTCGGGATAGGGTTCGATGATGCGATGGGCATGGCGTCCGAATTTTGTGTCATGTAATTCTGCAAAAATGTTGCACAGCATAGTTGTAAGAGCTTGTTAGAAAAGAAAAATGCAGTGCAAAGGTGTGAAAGAAATGATCGTGTGGCAGCTCCTCAGTTCAGTGTAATAATGTAATTGTAAAGCTAAACTAATTGCTTCCAATATGAGCTTCAATGCCATAACTATATATAAAAGATCGTGAAGCCATAGATGGATACTTGGTAATACTTATGTGAATGGGAAAGACTGATATATTGTGAAATGTGAAATAATATTTTTTACATGCAAAATTAACTTTTCGCACACATATGAATGCAAATGAATACTAACAATTCCAAGCATGCACTCAAGTTCTAACTGTATGAAGTTTCTGACAGCATTACAGAAATGAAGTTGGCACTTGACAGGGAATAAGGTGGATGTAATGAGCTCCCTGAATGCTCCAGTTCTTGTTTTTGTAAAACTAATTTGCCCAGGGAATTGAAACGGAGACTGACCTGTAGCACAATTTTGCCACGTCTCCAGCATCACCTACTCCTAACGACCGTCAAAGGAAGAGAAGATTTTCGGAAATTCAAAAGGGAAGAAGCGGGATCAAGGTGTCTTGGAATATGCAGAGGAAAACGTATAGGACCGATGTTGTAGTAGATAGAAGTTGGGCTGTCAGAACACATACATAAATTAAACGTCACATAGGATGATCCAAGAAGAGCATTGATATAGCCAACCCCGAATAAGTATTGACCTTGGCTTTGTTGAGTTTAATGGAGTAGGTAAATGCTTCAGAAATGTTCCTCTCTGTACGGATGAGGACAACATTGATTACAACATACTTGAAACCTACAGGTTTAGTCAAGAAGAAGCCACTGGTGCAGAAACACATGCAACAGTGTCACTGAAATGTAGACTTCTCTTTACTGGCATAACCCAAAATTCGAAGACCCATGTCAATGGTAGTCTATAACTGTAGCAATACCCATGTCACAAAATGGAGAAAGACAGAAGGATAGTCGACATGATATCCATCAAACAAAAATGAATAACATTGCTACTAAAGAAGAACTCAATCAAGCAGTTCAGGTCGAGGCACTGTCACTTCCTGCGAAGCCCAATCAGTGCTCAACAAGATGAAACTTTTGGGCATTTGCGAGTTTTAATTTAAAATCTGTAGTATGTTACCAGCACAGACTACGTCAATGTACTGTAATTCAAACAGGCATATAGTTCCAAGCAGGAAAGCCACAACATCAATGACTCTGGGCAAGGTGGATCACAGCAACATAACAAATGCGTACACATAAACGAGTGCCAAATACTAAACATAAACGAAAGAAATTGTAGTAGTTAAAAATTTGGGACTGATAACGCCTAGGGAAGGAAGGGAATGGCGGCAACAGCTTACGTACAAGGTGCGTGCAGGCTATACTAACTCTATAATGGGGATGCAAACCGAAGGGGGGGAAGCAGTTGAGTTGAAAGCGTACCATGGTTCCGGATAATAACCAAAACCGCCGGCATTGTAGTCCATTTTCTGTTGCTGCAGGTCGGAGCATCAGGTATGTGTTGCTTAACTGGACTGCGAAGTCCAGCCCGGCTGTGATGCGTCATCGGGTTAAGATGTTAAGGACGCCGAGCGTGGCCTTGCACGGGGGTCGATCGGCACCGTTCGGAGGAGTAAAATTTTTAACCGCCAATATGCAGCCGCGGTTCTCTTCGCCAGATCGCCTTACACTGATTCGATGGAGATGGAAGACAATGGGGGCTTGGGTTCTTGCAAGGGAGGAGGTAGGTGTGCTATTATTGAAGGACAAATGCGTAAAATGAAATACCAACTCAGGGGTGTTGCCGTCATTTTGGTCTAATGTTGTGTGTGCAATTAATAATTCAACCATGTGCCTTCTGAGAGTGTTAGAAGTTAGATTCCAAATAAATGTGATTTGGTGGCCAAAAAGTTTGAAATATGAATGAAACGAAAATGTAATGGGGCTCAGACAGGGGCTGAGTTCAATATGTCCCACAACTATGTATTAGCTTTTGTTAGGGACTTTGATGTTGCACCCGTATTTTGAGTTGGTTGTAAATTTTCAGGTTTGGAAAGCGGACAGAGGTTTTGATGGTCAACCTCCACTAAAGATGGAGTTCGACGGGGGCACCCTTAGATCAATAATTCACTCAGTTTCTGACAAATTCCACCGTCGCCTGGAAACTGGCTCTGAAAAATTTAAAAAGTTTAAACAATCTGTTAAATCGTTCTCATCCAGAAGATTCCTAGCCAAAGATGGGGAATCTAAGAAGAAAATTCTCGATCCGCAAGGACTTTTTCTTCAGAAATGGAGTAAGATATTTGTACTATCATATTTTCTTGCTCTCTCCTTGGATCCTTTGTTTTTCTACATTCCTGTCATCAACGATGATGATAAATGCCTTGATTTGGACAAAAAGTTGGAGACCACTGTCAGTATTTTACGGTCCTTCACTGATATCTTTTACCTCATCCATATTATCTTTCAATTTCGTACGGGGTTCATTGCACCTTCTTCACGTGTGTTCGGACGAGGTGTACTTGTTGAAGATGCTTGGGAAATAGCGAAAAGATATTTGTCTTCTTACTTCTTAATTGACATTCTTGCAGTTCTTCCGCTCCCACAGGTAAGAGACATATCCATTTGTGCAAAGGCATATAATTGTTTGTGACTGTCAATAACTTGCAGGACATTCCCTAACTTTATTGTCTAGGAAAATTAATTCATGTCAGGATTACTGTTTCTTAGATTTTGTTTATGGAATCTGATCATCTGATAACCTTCCCAGGTTGTAATTTTGATTGTGATTCCCAAGCTGAATGGTGTAAGATCTTTGAACACTAAGAATTTGTTAAAATTTGTGGTGATATTTCAATACATACCAAGGGTTCTTCGAGTCTATCCTTTATATAAAGAAGTCACTAGAACTTCTGGAATACTTACCGAAACAGCATGGGCTGGGGCTGCCTTCAGTCTGTTTCTTTACATGCTTCCCAGTCATGTAAGTCCTGCAACAATGCACTCCTTTCTATTTCCTTAACGTTATGTCATCTTCTAAGGCTTGATATGACACTTCTTATAATCTTTGACCTTTGATGTATGTTTTATTACATTTTTGGTACCCTTTTAGGTATTTGGCGCCTTTTGGTACTTGCTTTCAATAGAGCGTCAAATTACTTGCTGGCAGGAAGCTTGCAGTGTTTGGCCTGATTGTCGACATGCTTCATTGTATTGTGAAGCTGATCACACGGGATTCAGACAATTTTTGAACAACTTCTGTTCTATACAGGAATCAAATGGTACTTCTTTTGATTTTGGAATATACCTTAATGCAATTCAATCTGGTGTCGTGGGATCAACAGATTTTCCTCAGAAATTCTTTTACTGTTTCTGGTGGGGCTTGCAGAATTTGAGGTAAGCTCCCATTAGATTTTCGGTGATCACATGTTTAATACCCCGACGTCACTTCAACTCTCGCTTGGTTTCTTCCTTGCTTCTGGTTTCATATCTATTTGCAATTTCAGTGCAAAAGTGGAAGTACAGGAAAATGATTAACGAGATTGATTATAGAGATTAGTTGTAATATTGATGGAGCTTTATTCTTTTTCAAGAATTTCTTACTTAGCATGTGATTAATTCTTGTTTGATATTGCAGTTCCCTTGGCCTGAATCTCAAGTCAAGTACTTATGTTTGGGATATTTGCTTTCTCTCTGGTTTCGTGTTATTTTCGTTTCTGATTGGAAACATGCAGGCAAGTTAGTTATTTCTTTAGATGAATGGCTTTCAAAACATATGAATTTGTAATCTTCTTGACATGCTTAAAATTGCCAGGCATTCAAATGTCTTTCATAAAATGATTTAGATTTTGAAATTGGACAAATACCATATTTAAAAGTTCTGATGAACTTTAAATATGTGTGTGATAGACATATCTGCAATCTACAACACTAAGATTGGAGGAGATGAGGGTCAAAAGGCGAGATGCAGAGCAATGGATGTCTCATCGATTACTCCCCGAGAGTCTGAGAGAACGAATTAGGAGGTATGAACAATATAAATGGCAGGAAACGCAAGGCGTTGATGAAGAGAACCTGATTTGTAATCTTCCCAAGGACCTCATGAGAGATATTAAGCGTCATCTTTGCTTGGCTTTACTTAAGAGAGTGAGTGCTTTTTCGTTCGGCTTATTTTCTATCTTATATATACTGTTCTTTCAAGGGACTAATGAAGTAGGAGTTGAACCCTGTTTTTTTATTATTCTCATCATGGTGGAGACAGTTTGTTTATGGGAAGTCATGGTGCCTTACACAGATTATAAACTTTGCCTTTACGATAAAGACCACCAACTTTCTTAATATGTTTGTCTAAGCTTAAAATACAAGTAAAAAATTACTTTTGTTTCTGAAAATATGTTCTTTTCCGTTTACTTTTAAGTAAAAAAGTTATTTATTATAGAAGCAGCTCTTACCCTACTGTTAAAATAGTAACTTGCGTATTTCAAATTTTGACCATTAAAAAAAGTTTAATATAATTTTAAACTTATTTACATACAAGTGAATTCTTCAAGTTTAGCCAAACATGCTCTTATTTTCATTCTTGTTGATCCAATTTGAGGAAGAGGGATGATTATTGGGGTTGAGACAACAATTAATTTCTTCTTCATTTACTCCCACTGGTGATAGAATAGTAACGAGATTTTATAATTTTTCCCACGATAAATACATCTAATACTTACCATGTTTTAGGTGCCTATGTTTGAGAAAATGGATGAACAACTATTGGATGCAATGTGTGACCGTCTTAAACCCGTGCTTTACACTGAGTATAGTTTCATAGTGCGGGATGGTGATCCAGTTGACGAGATGATGTTTATTATGCGTGGAAAATTGCTGACAGTGACAACAAATGGAGGGAGGACTGGCTTTTTAAATTCTGATTGTCTAAAAGATGGTGATTTTTTTGGAGAAGAGCTCCTCACATGGGCGCTTGACCCCCATTCATCGTCCAACCTCCCAATCTCAACCAGAACCGTGCAAGCTCTCTCAGAAGTCGAAGCATTTGCTCTAATGGCCGATGATTTGAAGTTTGTAGCCTCTCAATTCCGACGACTACACAGTAAACAGCTTCGGCACACTTTCAGGTTTTACTCACAGCAGTGGAGGACGTGGGCTGCTTGTTTTATACAAGCAGCATGGCGCCGGTATTGTAGGAAGAAACTCGAAGAGTCTCTCCAGGAAGAGGAGAACAGATTGCAAGATGCATTGGTTAAGGGTGGTGGAAGTTCGCCGAGTTTAGGGGCGACCATTTACGCTTCGCGATTTGCGGCAAATGCTTTTCGTCTTTCGCGGCACAATGGTACGAAGAAAGCGAGAATACCAGAGAGGATATCCCCTATACTGCTTCAGAAACCAGCTGAACCAGATTTCACTGCTGAAGAAAAATAATCACATTTTTAATTATTATTTTTAATTGCAAGTGTATTATAGTTTTTGTTTGGCGCTTTTCTTTTTTTTTTTTTATCGGTAAATGTAAATATATAGATAAAAAATGTACCATGTACAAATATACCGGACATACCCGGACGAGACAATGTCCATATTCAAATACAAGTACACCGGGCATATTCGGGCAAATCAATGTCCATAAACATAAACAACTACTCCGGGCATACCCGGACAAAAACAGTAGAAAGCTAATACAAAAGAAATTAGAGCTCCATGGCCAAGGATTCATAAAGAATCAAGACATCCGGATACAAAGTAAACATGACTTTGTATACGTGGGTCTTGATCCTTCTAGCAATAGAATCCAAGTCGGCCGGGAGGTCTTCAAAAATCATCCTATTCCTCGTAAGCCATATGTAGTAAACTGTGCTAGCAAGAGCAACTCTCTTCGTCTTGGTCAACCACGAAGTTCCACGATTCTCCTTTTTCATCCACTTAAGCGCAATGGCAAGTGTAGACATAGATCTTGTGATGCCAAGCCAACTCCTAATGCTCCCCCATAATGAGGAAGTGAAGGAGCACTTAAAGAATAGATGGTCACAAGTTTCCTCAAAAAGTCTACAAAAAACACACCTCCGATCAATATCCAAGAAGAGTAGTTTGTCTTTAGTTAGTAGCTTTGATTGGGCTGCTAACCAAAGCAAGAAAGAATGCTTCGGAGTGATGCACGGCTTCCAAACTTCTCCTTCCCACGGCTTCAAAGTACCTTTATGCCTAAAGTAATCATAGGCAATTTTTGTTGAGAATTTATCATGCATAGAACAGCCCAAATTTTGAGTCGAAGATTCAAAAAACTGCCTACCGAACAAAGCTGTCTGCCGGCCAGAAATGCTGTTGAATGAAGGCCCAGAATACTGGTCGTGCAGAGCACTCCCAGCCCCAAAAAATCGTCCATTTAATGCCCTACCATCAGTCGATGTGTTCCCGTTAACCCCCTGATCAATCTGAAAATGATGAGCCACTGTTTCATGTTGCTGTCTCGAAAACACAGTGTGCTGGGCAGCTTCCTTAGCAGAAATAAAATCCCTGATTTCAAGTAATTTCTTGAAAAGTGGGGAGTGATCCTTTTTGGGACGAACCTCCCAAATACAAGTGCCGTTAAGATAAGCATGATGAACCCATCTAATCCATAAGGTGTCCTTCTTCTTGTGGATGTTCCAAAGGAATTTAGCAAGTAACACTAAATTCCAAGTCTTCAAGTCTTTCAATCCAAGGCCCCCTTCCGCTTTCGGAAGGCATAGATTCTTCCATGCAACCAATGGCTTCTTTGATCCCCAAAGGAAGTTCCGACAAAGGCTAACAATTCTTGAAATAATTGTAGCCGAAATGGGGAATATAGAAAGCCAAAAACATTCAACGCCTTGAAGCACGGCCCTAATGAGTTCCAACTTGCCGGCATAGGATAAGGATGCACAACTCCAAGCTCCAATATAACCCGCTATTTTTTCAAGAAACGGTGCATAAGAACTCACTTTGAGCTTCTCCGATGCAAGAGGAATACCCAAGTAACGAAAAGGCATAGTCCCTTTCGAAAATTTTGAGATTTCCATAATAGTTTGAAGCTCATACCCAAAAATTCCAGCTGTGTAGATGCTGGATTCGTAGTGTTGATCTTCAAACCCGATGCTAAACCAAATTTGTCAAGGCAATTTATTAGAATTTCAACGGACATCGCATCACCCCTTGCAAAAAGCATCAAGTCTTGAGGGGACCACATTTTGGGTGATAATTTAAAATCACTATCATTTGTAGCATCCTTGATTATCCTAGAAAAATATTCAAGACAAATCACAAACAAGAAAGGGGAAAGTGGATCACCTTGCCGAAGGCCTTTCCCGCCTTTGAAGAAACCATACATACTTCCATTCAAAGCAACCGAATATGTCGGAGTGGTAACACACTCCATAATCCATTGAACAAATCTCAAAGGAAAATTCAGCCCTTCAAGAACACTTTTGAGGAAGTCCCAACTAACCGAGTCAAAAGCTTTGCTAATATCAATTTTAAGGAGGCATCTCGGAACAACTCTCTTCCTACTATATTGCCTCATAAGCTCTTGAGCAAGATGAATATTTTTCGTCATGCTTCTACCTTCAATAAAGGCGGTGTTTGGCGCTATTTAATTGTATGGCTTGGTGGGTTTTGTATGAACGTAGAAATTCCTTGTTAAGGAATTTCGTTCTGTGTTAATATTAAGACCTTGTTACATGTAAATTAAGTTCTACATAATATGTTACATAATATTACATGTTATTTTATCATTTGTCAGTTTAAAGCACAATTAACTTTTTTATCCAATCTCTTTCTTCTACGTCATCTCTCATGTATCATTTTTATGCACAAGAATCATAATCTTTAATATTATGTGGCATATGGGATCTTTATTTTACATCCTACATGCAATTGTCACCATATTATGATATGCAACATATTATTCAAGCTGTGGGGTTCTCACCAACCCTTTCAGGGGGATTGGACTGGACTGGAGTAGATAAGGTACGACTCTTATTGTATTTTGTAGTTGGAAAAAGATAATATTGCATTTGAAATCACATCCCATCCCATACGCCGTCACTAGCTATACTGCTATTTATCATGATTAACTCATCGATCTCAGTTTCCAGCATATCAGAAATTGGCACTAATTTGATCTAGAAGTTGAGCATAACAAGTGATTGAGGCTAGGCTGCTATTTTTGCCTGTCCATATTAGAGAGATGGTTAATCGATTTAGTTGAAGTTATTGATTATAGGAATGCCAATTCATATGATTGTTTCTGGTCTACCAGATTTGGTTCTACAATGGTAAGAATATTCATTAAGGAATAGAAATATACAATTATATGATAAAAAAATATATATAAAATAATAGGAACCTCTGATTCATTATTTGGGATTCTGATCTAGGAACACTACCAAAATGTTTCAAAGTTCGTATGTGTTTCCAAGCCCTTTGAAACCCTAGAAAATGGACAAACTCCTTTTCTTAGGCTTGAAGGAGCATAGCCTTATTGGAAACAAAACAAAAAGAATTATGCCAAGAAACCTTTTTGGCAGCATTACTATAAAAATATCTTATTTCTCTGAAGTTTAGTCATTTGCTATATATTTGACAGCATTATTATAAAAATAAAAAAATAAAAAATAAAAAGAAGGACAAATTCCTTTTCTATATGTACAATGCCTTGTTGTTCACAAAATGAGTTAAAATTACTAGAAAGTATTATCCTCCTCTATCACTTCTAAATGTTGTTATTTTCTTATTTAAGCGATTTTCAACTTCATTTTTATAAGTTTTAAACATATCAAAAGCTTCATGTTTATGTTTCATTAAATATACACAAGTATATCTAGAGTGATTATCTAAAAATGTAATAAAGTAACTATTTCTCCTCTAGTTAACATCCAATGTAGTTCACATATGTTGAAATGAATGAATTCTAAAATGTTTATAGCCTTATTTACACTTTGATAAGATTTCTTTACCATTTTAGATTCTACATATATTTTACGTTTGTAAGCATCATTTGCATTATATGAAACCATATCAAATTTTAACATTCTTTCCATTATACTAGCACCTATGTGACCTAATCTAGCATGTCATGTCGTAGTAAGAAAAAAAAATTTAATTTTACTATTATTAATATTGTCAACAATATACAATTTGACCACTCATTCACTAAAATAGTCTTTTTCAACAAATTTCTCATTTTAGAGTAGTACAAGTTTTTCGAACTCATAAACACTTTTAATGCTCAATTTTTCTTAGAGATCTCCATTAAATAAGTTTCTATTAATTTCTGGAATATGTAGTACATTTGTTAGAGTAATGGATTTTCTGGAAGTGAAGATGATGTCCACATTTTCTTTCCCAACTACTTTAGAGCGGCTTTCATTATTTATTTGCATCTCTTGTTCTTCATTTGATTCATGATAAGTACATGCATTGAGTGAGATTAATAAAATGAAGTTAGTTTGATCATTTTTGAGAAAGCAGCGACTGTAATATATTTATCTGTGTATGTCCCAAAAAATTGAAGAGATATAAGTTATTGATATGTATGATGGAAAACAGAAGTACAGTGGACTTGGATAATTTAATCTAGCTTTTCCAATTGGAAGACAAAGT